CCCCAACTGTATCAAGCTCCCCCTCTCTCCTCCCCAATTGCATTGCCCTCCGGGAGGCGTTTTACTTTGGGGGGGCACATCCGTTTGTCCCTCCTGCTGGACGAGGAAGGGGGATTTCCCTGCTCCCATAGGACCCTCGCACGGTGCCCACAATGGGGAGGGGCCCTGGGGCGAGCGGGACAGGAATGGGGGGTGGGCGAACGAGCATCCCCGGCTGCACTTGACTTTTACCCACGTTGCCGCTCTCTCCCTCCTCTCCGTGTCCCCCCGTGTGTGTCCCCCGTGTCCCCACCGTGTCCCCGTGGATGTCCCCCCTCCGTACGTCCCCCGTCTGCCCCCCCCAGCCATGCAGCAGGTCCTGGACAACCTGATGGGGCTCCCGGGGTCCCCGGGGGTGGCCGACCTTGACCTCATCTTCCTGCGGGGCATCATGGAGAGCCCCATCGTCCGCTCCCTGGCCAAGGTACCGCGGCACGGGGGGCACCGTGCCCCGCCCCGGGACCCCCAGACTGTGTGGGGGGTGATCCACATGTGTGTGCATGCGTGTGTCGGTATGTCCATGCATGCAAGCGTGTGTGCATGCAGGGGTGTGTGCTGGTACGTGTGTGTGTGCATGTGGGGAGGTATCTGTGCATACTTGCACATATGTGTGTACACATGCACATGTATGAGTGCTTGTACATGTGTGCGGATGGATGCTTGCACATGTGTGCGTGCATGCAGGGAGGGGTCTGTGCATGTTTGCACACACATGTGTACACTTCCACATGTATGTGTGCTTGCAAATGCATGTGGATGGATGCTTGCACGTGTGTGTGCATGCATGTGTGTGCACTTGCACGTGTGTGCATGCATGGATCTGTGCTTGCACATGTGTGTGCATATGTAGGTGTGTGCTCATATGTGTGTGCGTACACCTCCACAGGTATGTGTGCTTGTACGTGCATGCGGGTGGGCACTTGCACAGGTGTCCCTAATCCATCCTTCCCCCAAGGAATCCCTAATCCCCTCTGTCCCAGGAATCCCTAACCCCTCCCAGGGATCCCTAACACCCTGTCCCCTCCCGGGGGCTCCTGTCTCCCTGGGGGGTCCCTAACACCCCCCCCCCCCCCCCGACCCCTGGGGGACTGTATTCCCTCCGGGGGTCCCTAAACCTCCTGTGCCCTCCAAGGGTCCTTAATCCTCCCTGCTCCTGGGGGTCCCTAACACCCTGTCCTCCCGTAGAAGACCCTGTCCCCTCTCGGGGGTCTCTAAACCTCCCCCCCGGTGTTCCATAAGCTCCTGAGACCCTGGGGGTCCCTAATCCCCCAAGCCTCTGGGGCTCCCTAACCCTTCCGAGACTTCCCAACCTCCCTGATCCCCTGGGGGTCTCTAACCCCCTGGGCGTTCCCTAACCCCCCTACCCCCTCCGGGGGTCTCCCCGTGGTGCCCCCCAGGCGCACGAGCGGCTGGAGGAGCGGAAGCTGGAGGCGGTTCGCGGGGACAACCTGGCGCTGGTACAGGAGATCCTGCGGGACATCGGGCGGCTGGCGCGGCCCGACGGGCAGGGGGCGGCGGCCGAGCTGGCCCGGATCCTGCGGGAACCGCACTTCCAGGTGCGGGGGGCACGCGCGGGACACGTGTGGGACACTTCTGTGCTGGGGGGTGTGGGACAAGTGTGTGCTGGGGGTGTGACACAGGTGGGATCCCCCTCCTGTGCTAGATCCCCCTCCTGTCCTGTGTGACACGTGTGTGTGCTGGGGAGCGTGTGACAAATGTGTGTGCTGGGGAGCGTG